GTGGGGGGAAGTGGTGTCATGTGCAAGTGTGGAGAAGTGAAAGGATCCACCTGAATCGCGTAAACACAATGATGTAGTACTCATGTCCGCGGCAGCAAAAGGGTTAAAGGAGAACTATGGGGTCAGTGCTTTTCCCCTTAGTTCTCCTAAGGATAACGGGAGGACACAAACTAGCGTCCTCCCATCACCCAAAGCTCAGTATATAGCGAGCTACAGCTCACGGTATACTGAGACGCTGCAGCCGGGATGGATCCCGACAATACTGTCTGGATCCACCCAGCTGCGTGAGTGACAGCTGGCTCCGCCTATCTAGAGGCAGAGCCAGTTGTACCGTTCGTTCCGCCAGTCAGCACTGGAGGATCAGACAGGGGAGGGGGATAATCCCTGCATGGAGCTGTGAGTGACAGTCACGGCTCTCTACAGGGACATGATCGAGAAGTGAGCGAACGACAGTATGTGTTCGCTCACTTCCCAATCTATTGAGCCGACCTTTGACAGTCTCATTGTGGGCTAGAACTATGAGACTGAGTGATTTTCACTCGCCTCATAGTTCTCCTTTCAGCATTGAAAGAGCTGCTCCCCAACAAACAGTTTTTGTTTTTGTTTGCATTGGTACATGTTCCCCCTGCCAGTGCCACATTCCCCATGCCCTCCCTTCCCTTTAGCCTTCACAAATGGCCAGAACTCATATAAAGAATCGGCTTATATTGACCTCAGTGGGTTTCGGATTAACGTTCAAACACCAGAGGGATTCAGCAAACCTCCCGCTTACCGGACCCAGGCACAGGGGTGCCCCATCCCTCCTGCTGCTACATAGTATACTGTAAAGCCCATGTACAGTAGATTTCTTGTCTCTTTAACCTCTTGGCAGCGTTATTTTGTCTTGCAACACATTCTGTAACTTTCCCCTCGCACGTGAGGACTTTGAAACGTTTTCCATGACTTTCTCTCCTGCGAGCTGTTTTTCAGGAATGATTTCACACGCCGAAGCCACACGGGGGCAACTGAACAAAGTCCATTGTGTGCAATGAAAGGTAAGGGAGGCTGTATGCCGGCTTCCTGAGGATTATCTGTTATTATATTAGTGATTGTGCAAAGGGATGCGGAGAGGATCTCGCTGGACCTACCATGCATCACTTTATAACAACAGACAACTGGAATTTTCCACTAGGATGATAGAGGAATTCATACAGAGGAATGAAAGTTGTAATAGGAGCAACTTGAGGCAAGAAGGGGAACCGTTTTCAAGCAGTTACAATGTCGATAGCTTATCAGTGAACACTTTTTCTGTAGAATCATCCATGGCCTCAATCAGTGCCTCTGCTTATTGAAATGGGCCTGATCTGTGCCTGAACTCTCTGACTATATACAGTTATAATTTTATAACATGAGCACTGTTCAGTAGAGCAGTAAAAACCACTGACCTCACAGCCGCCATAGCAGAAGAATGAGCAGGGGTGTCCCTAAAGTTCTCTCCAACTGAGGCAGGGGTGCTGGCGTTGCACGGTGGGGAAGGGGGGAGTTGTGGGGCTGGACGGCTGTGGGCAGTGTAGGGGTTTGGTTCGGTTGGGTTGGGGGTGCTGGTTAGGGTTGCCACCTGTCCAGAATTCAGCCGGACAGTCTGGGTTTTGAATGCTGTGTCCGGGTCTCATGGCAGCAGAAACCCGGACACAAGATGTCAGGCAGACAGGGGCAACCAAAATTAAGATAGGTACTACTGGCCTCCCACTGAAAATAGTCTCTACTGTGATTTTTACATATGAATGGGTGTCACTATTTACATATGAATAAGCCACCACTCATTCTCCATAAAAAATTTCAGCGCGTCACTAACGCGTTCAAGTTTCGCTGGAAGAAAAGGTGGCAACCCTGGTGCTGGTGGTTATCTCTCTCTGCCATACCACCCAGCTCACTCATGTCACTTGTTGCCAAGAGCTCGGTGGAGCGCCAGCCAGAGCATTATAGGTCGCCAAGAGCTCATAGCAACCTGGGACACTCTGGCCATAAAGGGGGTGTGGTCACCTCTCTCCATCATCCTGTTCAGCTCACAGATGTCACTGGTTTCCAAGAGCATCCAGCTCAGCTCCTGGCAACCAGTGATGTCAGTGGGCTGGGCGGGACACTGTAGAGCAGGGGTGGGCAAACTCCATCCGTCCAGCTGTTGTGCAACTACAAATCCCATGAGGCGTTGCAAGATTTTCCAAGCCACAGGCATGACTCATGACTGGAATTGTAGTTTCACCACAGCTGGAGGGACAGAGTTTGCCCACCCCTGCTCTAGAGCGTCCCCGGTTGCTAAGAACTCTGGCTTGTAAGAGGGTGGCGGCAGAGGCGTCCCCAGTCTGGGTGTCACCCAGTGGGGCAGCCGGGTGGCACCCACCGGGACATCATCACACACGTACGTGATGTCTTCACGCATGCATGTAATGATGTCATGTGCACTTAACTATAAAGAAATATCAAATTTGCGCTTATGGGTGGTCTTAGAGAACTAAACAAAAGTGTTACAGCTGCATCACTATGGACACTGTTGTCCAGCTGGTGGATGGTAATAAATAGCGCTGCATATTTACTTATTACCATGCGCACTTAGCTGCCCACTGAGAGGCACAGAGGGAAGGGTATGTTCATCTGGTGAGATAAGATATCCCGCCTTGTCCCCTCCTCTCTTGTACATCTGTCAGGCTCCCGATCCATGACCAAATGCCTAACTTTTTGAAGGGAGTGACACCAAAATGGCAGCAGGTGTGCTGCAAAAATTGTGCAGCAGAGCGGTTGTGCCCCTCCACATGACCCAAAGAGATGCTGCCTGAGGCCTCAGGGAACAAGGAGTGTTTTTTACATCGCCTGATTGACGTTCACTCTAATGCATTTGCCAAAATGACAACATTTTACCAAAATCTTCAGACTTATTGCAAATTTTAGTGAGTTTGTTCCCTACTGAGAACTGTAAAGAGGACACATTGTGGACCAACCATCCTGAGTAAAAGTGTTTGAGATGAGAAACTCATATTTCCCTGTCATGATCTACAGTATATACAATGTATTTCCTTCCCTCCTTTAGTCACATGATCTGTTTGGCTTCCTGAGACCTGATCGTAGTCCTCCGGAGAGACCTTTATCACACGAAAATCTTTAGAGAGTGGCGTTTGATCACCTGGACCTGAAGTGAGAGGAAACCTCACCAACTAAGGCAAATAGCAGTAAAACCCTGACAGAGGTTGTAACCTTTCAACAATGTATCACACATTTAAAAAATAAACATTGGCTGGAGTTCTATTGTAACTCTCTGAACCCCACAAGAAAATTGCCAAACTCTCCAAAAGGGACCTTTAGCTGGAAAACCGTTGTTTACTTCTCCGTATGCATTTATATATTCATGCGGACAAAGACTGTCCCTCTTTGTATACTGTGTTAGTTCAAATGATCCAAAAACACTCCAAGAAAGGTCCCTGAAGCCACAAAAACTCCAAAAACAACCATGAGAAAACACTATTAAAAAACAATAAAAACCTATCCAGAGGTGTTCTATGAATATACACTGAGTGGCCAGATTATTATGACCACCCCATCACTATAGTTGCTTTTCAGTTTCAGAGGCAAGGCCGGGAACCCGCTACCATAAAAAGTCAACGTGCAAATAGTGGTTTGTGTATATTGTTTTTATATTTTTATTATGAATATGACTAAAAAATACAATTTTAAAAAATATTTATATTTTCATGTAAACATGAACTATTGCACATGAATATTTTGTCATTTTAATATACAGCCAGCAGGTGGAGCTCTTGTTTCATCTTTACATGTTTTCCAGTTTCTTCCTACCTCCTTTTGCAAGTTTACAGAGCTCAGTAGATCAAGCTGAAATTTACACACACAAGGGACTGATTTAGAGCAGTGACTCTGCCCCCCTCCTGCGGAGTGACTCCTTCTTCTGCTGGAGTGTTTGAAAGGAAGCCGCTCCTGCTGTGCTCTCTGTCTAAAAAATGGGGCTTCGGGAATTCTTTTTCATGGCTGCACTATTTATAGCAAAAACACATATAAAACATCTGCTTAAAAAAAATGTAAAAAAAAGTTATAAAATTAACCAGAAACTAGCTTTCCTTTAAAGCTGAAACATTTACACAGCTCGGATTTAATTCATTCATCAATTAATGCAGTGTTTTCAATGCAAGAGGGGTATGTATCCGTATTGGACTTTGTATCAGCCTCTCACTGCCTAGCAGAGGCCAGGTTCAGAATGGGGTCATTTCTTGGCAAAAACAGCATAAAGTTTTTGGAATTTGTGGCAATTTTTTAGAAAAAAATCAGAGCTCGTTGAATCTTTTTGCATATATGGTGAGAATGAGTAGAGTTTCTGGAGCAGCTTTATAAACAGGCCAAGCCTTCGAAGTTCATAATTCCCATGTAATGAACAATATAAATTTGACTATTTATAAATAGGCCTCTTTTGTTACAAAAAAAAACAATTTACAAAGATTATTAAAGTAGTATTAAGGTCTGGGCGCTTTTTACCTTAATGCATTCTCTGCATTCCGGTAAAAACCGCCCAGAACCAAATCAATCAAAGAGAGAAGGGGAGTGACCTGCCACAGGGCTGTGTGTGTCTATGGGTGTACACAGTCACTGCGCCGGTGCCTCCATTAGAACGATGGTGGCACCCGTACAGGGGGCGGGGGAAAGAACGCTGAGGGGACCAACTTGAAAATGAGGAATTAAATGTTTTAAAGAAAAACAACAACAGCCTCAGGCAAAGGTTGGCATCCCTATAGCAAATATCACTTTAAGAAACAAAGTCATGTCATGTGTTAAATTATGTTCTGTATTTAGAGTTTCCTTGGCACCAAATATTTTGTTCTTGGAAGTGTAGTCAAGAACCCTTGTCAGTGGACATCACAGATGAATCCAGAGCCACCAAGTCTTGACCACCATCGAGAGTGTCCCGAGTTCAGACGTAATTTTGTTCACATTTGACATCAAGTCCATTGATCCCTCCAATGTCAGTCAGATGACTCAGGTTTGGTGTCACTTGATGTGGACGATTGTGAGTCCTCCATCTCTTTCCGCCCTGTGGCAATGCGCCCATTTTGGGAGGTCTCTATCAGTTCCTGATCCACCGGATAGGTTTGCTTTGTTCCGCAACACTGGCTGACTTTTCTACAGTTCTGCAGGAGGTTAATGCACAGGTTGATAATCAGAGCCAACCATGCCAAGCCAAACAGAATCCACAGTGACACTACATTCTTGTACCAGTTGGGGTATTGCTTGCCGGGAACTCTTCCTAAGAAAAAGAGAAAAAGTACATTTTCAATTAATTCAATGACTGATCAGAAAGCAGTCTAGCTGAGGGGTGGGCAACAGCAACAAAACACTAACAAGCTCACAAAAAAGACAACAGAACTGGGTACCTGCAGGTCAAAGAGGCCTGCCCCACATATGGCACAGGTCCTGGAACATCTCCGGGAGTAGGGACCACTTGGCGTTGTCTGACTGAATCCGCATCGGATGACTCTTCATTTGGGATATCCAGCATTGTAGGGACAACAAAATCACCCAAAGCTCCAGAATGATGATCAGGGAACTAGATTCCTACAATGTCCAAGTCCCCTGTACTGACAAGGCGTCCAGGACTCATCCCCAGCCTGATAGGCTGATATCTGCCTGGAGGATCTTCCAAGACACCAGAAGAAAGAATTTCCACAACTCCAGAGCTGAACTATTGAGTCACCTGGCCTGGTCCTATGTGTCAGCTAAATTGGCCTGTCCAGAGACTGTTGCACAATGATAGAATGTTAAATTATAGGGGCCTGGAATGGAACTGGGCAAATAAAACTGCCTCAAAGGTGACTACTATCAGTCCCGGAAACCTTCATGAAGAAATGGAGAGTGTGCTGACTCCTGGACTAAAGAGTCTGAGTCTGGGAGCAGAAAGATGACCGTTTCTCATGAGGAAGAAAAACTCTGGCTTGAGCTGAGTCTAGGATGAGACCCAGATAATCCAGATGAGCACTGGCTTCGGATTGCAACCAAACCTTGCAAGATTTGAACCCTCAGCACCACATTGTCAGCAAGAACTTGTGTCAACTGTTTTGATAGGCTGGAAAAATGTGGACATATAAGTATGTATGCTTGATGTCCACAGAGGCACAGGCAGATTGGAAGACATTGACTGAGGAAGGGGACTGAAAATGGAACTCTAGCTTGTAACCCCTGGAAACCACTCCATTACCCAAGCATCCAATATGCTGGCTGACCAAATCTCTGCAAAATGCTTGATTTTGAAAGTGGGGGTGCTCCTTCATGCTGAGGAACACTTGCCTAAATGCTTGGAAGACTTGAACGTCTAGGATTTGCTGGTGGGACGATTGCTTAGCTTGAGTTTAAGGCCTGGAAGTAATGAAAGGAGCCCTTCTTGTCCTCGGAGGAGGGGTGAGACTTCCCAGAGCCCAAGGCTTCTAGGGAAAATGGGTACAATTGACCCTAGTGGCATCCTTGATCAGGGTGTACAGAGCAGCTCTGAACAGACCCTGTCCCTTGAAAAAAGCAGGTGCTTTTTAAATGTCCATTTTGCATCCCAGCACTTATCCCAAGGAGCTTTCCTCATATTCACGGACAACACCTCTAACAAATCATCCACACAATAGTTCAAGGTGCCGGCATGAGCACCAGACACTCCATTAATAAAGGATTACATTGAATGGCAGTCGAACCCCTTCTAATGACTGTAGCTCATCAGCTAAGGTTTTTGCAGACTAAAGTTGCTGCCAGAGAAGGTTGCAAGGCAGGCCCTCACAGAGATGACAGAGACTCCAAACGTTTGCCATGGGAACACCTATGTATCTTCCACAGGGATGGTTACTGCCTGTTAATGTGGGAAGCTGCAGAATACACAGCAGGAAAAGGATGGATAGTTGTATGAGAGGGATGAACACCTTTTAAGGGTTCCTCCAGTCTCTGTAAAGGATAACAGATAATAGCAGGTGCACCGGAAAGGTCTTGGACCTGAAAATGTCTAGTATGGGAACCGCACTGTGGAAGCCTCAGCCTCCTTTTATTGTTTTAAAGTGGCGCAACCATGTCAATGAGAGTCACTACAGTCCCTTTAAACCTGGAAACAATAGAAGTGGCAATTAAAGATGAAATTTGGCCCATAAAATTTTGCATGATTGCGGTAAGATCTTCCCGGGTAGTGCCATGGAGGAGACCATGGCTGACAAAGCTAGGGAAGACACCAGGCAGTACTGCAGACAGTACTGGAACAATTAGTAAATCAACAGCTGGAGGCACCCGAGGCAGCGAGACTGTTTCCCCCCCCCCCCCCCCCCATATATGACCCAACATGTTGCACAGCAAGGCAGATGGCAGGTTAGCTCAGAATACAAGGCTAAGCCTTGAATATTTACAAATCAGCTGCTAGTAGCAGGAGAGGGTGCAGGCAGTCAAAGGTGACCAGGTCACTGTAGGTGGGCAGCAGAGACGAACCAAGGATGGATGCACATGTCAAATGCAGCCAAGAACAGCAGCAGGAAGGTGCTTCCTCGACATTGAATGAGGGAAGAGAGTGCAGAGTGTGCCTGCATCACACTCTACAAGCAGATGTGGTTAGGGCTCCGTACCACAGACTGAACCCCTCATGCGACCAACCGACAGAAAGCGGGAATAGATAACATCCAATGGTTCCAATATTTGGGAACTCCAGGTGGTCAGTACATACGGCCTTTACACTAAGTGAGCCTTCAGAGACAGGGTCAAATCAGGGTCTGTGTCATGGCTCTGTGGGTAGGAGGTTCTGCAGAGGTGGTCAGAGAGAGAAGACCTGTTCTCTGTTGTGAGACAACTAAGCCCACCATATGACCAAGAAGTGAGTCTTTCTCTGAGAAAACAAAGACAAGGAACATGTTTCCCCTGTGGGGTGAGAAATGGTAGAAGGAAATAATGAGAAATGCTTTATGAGGACGCTACATCACAAAGTGTGCACCAACTGGAGGTTCCCTACAACCAATAAGGGGATGATGTTTGAATATACTATGTCTCTTCTGCAATAAAAGCTTCTTACCTTCCTGTTTGCAAACTTCTTTAGCATGTACACTGAGCAGTGCACAATCCTGACATGCCTTAAAACCCCTGCACATGCAGTTACGGAATCCCAGGCCAGCCAACCAAGATGGGGTAACCAACCAAAGAGGCTGAAAACTAAGGCTAAGATGGCAAGGGAGTTTTTAGACTTTGCATCACTGGAGGAGATGAGATTAGACCGGATTTTAGTTCTGCGTTAATGACTTAAAAAAATGCCCACATGTCCCAAAGATCACCAAAACCACAGCTGCACCTGGCAGCCTGTTACCCGCTGGTGGAGATCATGCTTGGGTCATACACTCACAGCCCCCTCACTCTTTTTACTTACCGATGACATAGTCTCCAAAGCCAATGGTGCTGAGCGTGATGAAAGCATAGTAGAATCCCTCCTCGTATGTCCAGCCTTCCACCCACTGAAAGAGAATAGGGGGGAGCAGGAAGAAAAGGAGGAGACCCGCAATCAAAGCACAGGAGCTGGAGAAGACCTTCACCATTTTCTGTAAGACACAACCAGAGATCTTGATGTTAAGAGGGGTGACTCAGTGCTGGGTAAGGGATTGTAGAGGCTCATTCACACCATAATGTGTGTTATGATGCTTGGTATTAAACTGTAGGTGTGTGTTGTGGTGCATTGCAATGCAAGGTTAATTGCACTTCAATGCACATCTTCAGTGTGCTGCGACACACAGGTGTTAAAATGCACCTCAACACACATGTGCTTAGACTCTACACATTGACCCTAACGCTGACCTTGACCCCAACACTAACAGTAAAACTAACCTATATACTATATTATGTCATAGTCTAATTTTATTTTTACTTATTTTTGTTTTAACAAACTTTTTTTTACAGACTTCTACTCTAACAAGGAGACAAAATGCACTTTATGTTATTACAGAAGAAAGACATATGGGAGGTGTCTCTTACTAGTGATCACTGTGATTGGCTATCGCAGTGAGCATGTGGTCGGGACCCAGATCCGGTACGTTGTTGGATCCCATTCACTTGTCCAACACTCCACACACTTGCTAGAGACTAGAGATAGTAATAGTAGACAGTAAGAGAACTAGACCTTGAGTCAGGCAATATTATGGTTTGTTAGGTGACTTTTTTTCTGAAAAATAAAATTTTCAGACATTCCTGACTATGTGTCCTCACCTCATGCCCTAAAAAAATCATGATTGCCGCATTCTGCAACATTGGACAACGCATATGCCCATATCCGGGACAGTCTGAGAATTACAATTGGCTACAAAATCCAATACTGGCCCAATAAGATAGGTTCTCCTGATAATTGGATCCAGTCATCTATTATGAATACGGCTCCTTACTCTCTTACCTTGCGTTGGACTTTGGTCCCCAGGAAGTCCGCATATCGTTGGACCAGAGAGAGCATCTTCTGACCGATGCGGTTCAGCAGGATCACATTCAACGGAATGCCAAACAGTGCAAAGAAGATGCAGAAGATGCGACCTCCGACGGTGTTGGGGCTCAGATTCCCGTAACCTTCCAAGTCAAAGAAAAAGAAAACACAGTGTCACACAGTTAAGATTTACTAAGGGAAGAGAGGCGTACACAAAAAGCCCCCAAAACTTCCACCCTCACACAGGAAGCCCAGTGCTGGCTGCAAATCTGATTATGCCACATCTTATTAATGAGAGCAAACGTGATGTCTATACCGTTGAGTGTCATGGTGTTATTAACGCCCAACTCCAGACAAAACCTTTTTATTTTCTTATGAACAGAGTAGAGGAGATTTTACAGCTCTCTGTGATATATTTGGGACAAAAAGGAACAGATTTGAGTAAAACATTGTTTTGGCAGCAGATGTTCCTTACCACGCTGGGCAGGACCCCCCTACCCATCTTGTCTTAAATTATATTATAACTGTAATGTCTTAAATTGTAAAAATATTCATTAAAAAATAGTAAAAGGAAAGGACGATTTTTTACAATAATTTTTGCAGGAAAATGTAAGCTGGATCCTGACTGGCTGACACAAGCAGTAAACCTTCACAATTTATAAATTAACAGGTCTATTCACTAAAGGGTGAAGAGTTTGGAGAAGGCCGGAGAAGGGAACAATCTAGGACAACATAGCTGGGATGGAAAATTCTCCAATTTCGCTCACTTTCCAGTTCAGCTATGTTGTCCTAGATTGTTCCCTTCTCCGGCCTTCTCCAAACTCTTCACTCTTCTGTGAATAGACCTTTGACTTTACGATTGGGTCCATTAGAGTGAAATTGTTATTTCCTATTTGAAGCACTAGGCGGCAGCACAACACAGGCACTATTGTATATTGAAGGATATACAAATGTGGACACATTTGCTGGTACCCTTCCACAAAGAAAAGAACCCACAATTTTCTCTGAATTCATTTGAAAGGGACAGAAGTAGTTGGCATCCATCATTGTTTATTTCATATTACATAAACTCAGACTTTGCTTTTTTATTATTGCTTCAACAGAATATTTTAACTAATCAAACAAATGGAAATGACATGGATAAAACTGAGGGACCCTTAAACCTAATGTTTTAGAGGCAATCTCTGCAAACAAGCAATTTCTGTGGCTCTCGATGAGACTTCTGTACCTGCCAGCAGGTAGTTTGGTAAGCTGCCTCAGCTGTTTCAGGTTTGAAGGGTTCCTTCTCCAGATGGCATGTTTCAGCTCTTTCCATAGATGTTCCATAGGATTCAGATCCAGGATCATAGAAGGTCGCTTCAGGCCAGGTTCACACCTGAGCATTTTGTAGCTTCAGAATTGTCCACTGTTTTGGTCTTAGCCATTCTTGGGTGCTTTTAGCTATGCGATGGGTCATGATACTGTTGACTTGCAATAAGACAAAGCTATCTGACACTGGGCAGTACCTTTCCTTCCAGAATTCCTTCATAGTCTTGAGATTTAATTGTGCCCTGCACAGATATAAGGCACTCTGTGCAAGACACAGCATATCAGTCCCAAAGCATAACCAAACCTCCTCCTTGCTTCGTTTATTTCATCTTTAAACATATAGCTAATGCGAGGTGCCAAAAAGCTTCAGTTTTCTCTCATCTGTCCAAAGGACAGCTTTGTGGCTTTTCAATGTGTATTTTAGCAAATTCCAGTCTGGCATTGAGCCCGCTGTTGATTAAAAAGCAATGGATGGTGCCATCAGAAACTAAAGTACCTTGACCTTGGAGTTTAGCTTGTATCTCTTTGGAAGCTTTCCTTGGCTCTTTGTCTACCATTCAAACTATCCTTCTGTCCAATCTGGGGGGCAAATGTTCCTTTTGAGGCCACATCCACGGAGGTTGGCTACACCTTAAACTTCTTAATAATATTTGCAACTGTATTCACAAGAAGATCAAGGTGCTTGGAGATGGTCCCATAGCCTTCACCTTTGACATGCTGGTCCATAATTCTCACACTTATCACCTACCTCAGACAACTCTCTCCTTTGCTTTCTCTGGTCCATGTTCAACGTGGTGCACATGATGATACCAAACAGCAGAGTGATGACTTTTCCCCATTTAAATAAACTGGCTGACTGACTGGTTACATGAATGAAGACGTGTGTGATACTAATTGGGAAAAACAGTTTGAAGTGTCACTACGATCCAATTATCTATAATCTTTCCTTGGGGTACCAACAAATTTGTCCCAGGCTGTTTAAGAATATATTTTGTAGAATCAGCGATAATTTATATCTTTTCCCACTTTCTTTGCTTTACTCTATGAAAATCCAAAGGCATGCGGGTATACAGGAGGCAATTGGTTATAATATTATTGCTTTAAAGGAGGAATGAAGAATTGCTTCAATGAGCTGTAAAGGTAACAACAAAGTTGTCCATGACTGTATGTGATCTTGAGCTCATGTTCCCAGATAGCAAGGATAACGTGCCACAAACTTGTGTCAGGGTTGAATTGTAATTCTTGTTAACTTGCTACACACATTCCTGGCAAGTTGTAGACTTGCAGAGCACTTGCAGCGCAAGTTCTAGGCGACACTTTTTGGATTTGTAGCAAATTTGCTTGGCAAGTCTACAGCAAGAGTCCTGCAGGTCTTAAGGTGGCCATACACTCTACAACCATCGCAAGACTTTAGTCTTGCGATGGTTGTACAGGGATTAAAAAAAAGTACGATCTGCAATCGTACGATAATCGCGAGGTGTATGGGCACCTATAGCAAGAGCTCTGCAAGCTCGCTGATCTGGAGACTTGCAGTGCAGACTTGCTGTAAATGTGCAACAAAATTGTGAAGCTCGGCAAGTCTGCAATAGTTTAGCAAATCATTTTCAAACTTGCAGCTCAATTGCTTGCTATCTGGGTTTGTAACCCCCACAATTCTTGTCCTTGAGAGGCCCATACAAAACTGGATTAAGAACCCAGCACGGGTGTTACCCAACCTCAATATATCCAAAGTATAAGAAGCAGAGTTTTTATTTGCTCTCCTACTCTTTCTCTGTACTCCAAGAGAACAGCATCACCCGAATGTAGAAAAATACGAACTACAGCGCACGGTCTCCCTATGTTTCAGCTTCTCAGAAACGTTTGTGGTCTCCGGCAGGTAAACGCTGCCATCTAATGCACATTACTAGAACTACAAAGATTCCAATCAGAAGAAGAAACATGAAGTTCCTCTGATACCTTCTTCACCTGGCTCTATGATTTAGAAAATTCTGAGGCCACCTTACTTCTTCAGAGCAGTTCTCTTTTACAGGAAACCTGTACTGTGACAAATATGGAGGCCACCATTGCGGATTTGCCTTTCCTAAAAAAGCCAGCTGCCTCTTTGTTTTCATTATTTGAAGGCACTGGCTCACACCAAGATGCACATCAGGAAAGTCAGAGAGGTCAGAGCTCCTGAGCTGTATGCTGTTTCTGAATAAGTGACTTTGGAAGTACTGAAGCCACCTAATCAGCATAACAGCCAGGAAAATAGTATTTGGAGAAGAAAAGACCAGCAATGGTCAGTACTTTAGCTCCAGTTACTTTTTTAACCCCTTCATGACTGAGGCCCTTTTTTCAATTTTTGCACCCATGTTATATTCCACATTTTAGGCCTGAAAATGACGTAAAACCCCCCAACATTATATATTTTCTGAATGCCAAGACCCTATAGAATAAAATGGTGGTAGTTGAAAATTTTTATGTTGCGCAATATTAGCGCAACTCCTTATTAAACCCCAAAAATACTTTATCTTAGCTCTGGGCTGCTGCTTCTCCATCTGTCCTGCAACGTCCTAGGAGAAATTACCAAAAGAAGCTTACAGCTAGTTAGCACCTAGGACAGTGATGGCGAAAGACTTGTATTTTTACAACCTCGAAAAATTATGAACTTACACTATATGGCCAAACACATGATGACATCTCTTCCAAAATATTGAGTTAGGTGTTTCCAGTGAAGAGCGCTGTTATTGCTACAGCTTACAAAGACATATTAGACAATCATGGCTTTCAGCCTTGTGGTAACAGTTTGGTGAAGGTCCTTTTCTATTCCATCATGACTGTGCCCCTGTGTACAAAGCCAGCTCCCCAAAGACATGGTTGGACCAGTTTGGTGTGGAGAAACATGAGCGTCCCTGACCTCGGGATGACTCCATTAATGTCCATGGTTTTAGAATGGAATGTCCAACAAGCTCATATAGATCTGATAGCCGGATGTCCACAAACGTTTGGCCATGTGAACTATCAATACCCCTTTATAGTTGAGCTGAGAACTTACAAGCCAACCATCATAGCCTGACAAATTATGTTCTTATTTAGTCCAATTTGTAGAGAAAGCTTGAAAATGGTTTTGTCCCTTCCTGCCCCAGGTCTTCCCTGAAGCTATAAAATCCAAGAAACTCTCATGGACTGTAATATGTCAGGACTTTGTTTTATGTTTGATAATCTGCCTTGAAGCTCACTTCGGGTGTAAACAAGCTTATGCCGAGCTGCCAATGTTGTCATTGTCCTGACACCAGGTTGGCTTTTTTGCTTCAAAGCTACCATGTCATTAATAAGACACGCTTACCTACTAAACAGTACTGATCACGGACATACCAGAGATCACAGGCACTTACCGATGGTGGTTATGGCTGTTACAGAGAAGAAGAAAGAGCCACCGAAGTCCCAGGTCTCCTGACCGCTATCATTTCCCAATAAACTGATGCCATTCTTGTATGCATTGATAATGCCCTGCAAAACAGAATATTCCGGTCACTTCATCTGGACATAGTACATACCTGAACTGGCTCCTGAAAACTGCATGTTCTTCACAGATATGGGAGTACCGAACGTATACAGCTCATTTCAATGTATACATGGTATTATGGCAGAGTTTCTCAGCTACTGGGTGGCATGGGTCACAAAAGGGGTGGCAGGTTGATTTTCATTGCCCCCTTTACTAACATACTGTAACACAAGTAGGCATAGTGCATCAGCAAAAGCTGTTCTGGAAAAGAGCAGAGGAACTGCTGAGGATCGGAGCAGTCCTTCCTTACAGGGTCTAATATGAAGCAAATGGCCCTGAGAATATCTTTGAACTGTGGAAATAGATGCCAAAATGGATGCTCTTTCATTTTTTTTCTTTACAAGTGCAATTAATATTCAAATGTTTTCATGTAATATCACATTATGGCCACTAGGTGGTGGTAAAGGAGCATAGGAAAAGAGTATTTATGTTGTATGTTCGTTTTCACCATCTAGAGGCCATATTGTGGTATTACATGGG